AAGATTTGGTTTGATCTCAATATTTTTACATGAATTAGTTTAGATTGAATTTCTTATACAAATCGATATTCTAATTATTGAAGTTTAACCTAATTTGGTGTGAATGTTTTTTATTATCTAATTTGGTCCGAATATTTTTTGTCTCGTATTTTTATAGATCTTGAATGATGTATATGTTTTCAGTCTTTAAACGAAAACTTTATGTAAATAATATAAACCTCTGTTCTAAAAATCTTTCTAGGCGCCCGACTAATCCCCGTCTAGGCGCTAGGCGGTGGTCGGGCACCCCGATTCTCATCTAGGCGCTCCGACTAATTGGTTTGTTGTCTAGGTGAATTAGTCGGCCATCTATAGTGCCTAGTTGCCCGCCTAGAGCGCCTAATCGGCCGCCTAGGCCGTCTAGATTCGCCAAACATTAGTTTACTTTTTAATTTTAATTTTCTAAACGATATACGTACTTTAACTTTAGCCATGGATATAAAGAAATGAAGTTGTAAATTAAGATAGAGCTATATAGTTTGTATATATACCTAAATTTTATCATTATTTATATTTATAACATAATGAAGTTAAGTGATTAGTTGTCATATACTATGTATGATTAAAAGTGATAATTCTATCATTCATGTTTGTTAATGTATACGTATATATGTATTTTATACACACAAAAATACAAAATTACTTATCATATTTATGCAAAAATATAGATAAAAATGCAATTTCTATGTTTCCGACTAGTCCCTGACTAGGCACCCGCCTAGCCGCCTAGGTGGTGCTAGGCGTTGTGCTGGCGCCTGACTAGCGTCTAGCGCCTTTTAGAACATTGATATAAACATCACGAAATTTTATCAAAAATCCACTCAAAAGCACTTCAAATATAGGCGGCCGGACAACGGATCTTCTCAGGTAATTTTGATAAGATCATTCCTCATTAAATAATCACATATACGAAATATATGATTAAAAATAGGTCAAAATATATTTTACTCCTCAAATATATCTTATTTGGTCCTATTAAAAATAATTTGATTAAAGTTTGTCAAAATATGAGTGAATAAGTCATATTTTGAGAATAAAACAATGATAATCTTATTTATGAACTTTATTTTTGTTTTAGTCCTTGTTTTAGGAATTCTCTCTTTATTGTTTGTGTTCCTTCTTGTCCCCCTATAACTAAATCCTGGATCCGCCCACTGATAATAATATTACTGTAACGTTTGGTGCATTCATTATATTCACATCATCAATAATACTTCTTTCGTCTCACTAAATGTGTCTCATACAATATTTGGTAGTTTTTGTGTGACTCTAATTCATTCTTACTTTACTTTCACTTTATCAATTCATTATCAACCGCATATAACTCAACTTTTTTAAAAAACTGCACCACTCTTCTTTGTCACAATCTTAGGGGAGGCGGAGGTGGCATTACTTAAAGCTTGGTGCATTCATTATATTCACATCATCTTTGGGATTTCTTCCAAACTTGCAATCAAAACACAAATTTGTATTAGTATATTCACATCATATTAAAGCTTGGTGCATTCATTATATTCACATCATCTTTGGGATTTCTTCCAAACTTGCAATCAAAACACAAATTTGTATTAGTATATTCACATCATATTTGGATTTTATCCGAACTTGAAATGATAATATTTTATCAATTAGTGTAGCCGGCCGACCTATCTTGCCTTGTAGATTGTTTCAATTCCATGATGACTATGATGATCAGGTTTATGCTCACTTTGATTATATGAAGATAGCTATGATGATATCATTTGTTGCTACCACTCCGTGACTACAAAGACCGTGATCAAACCACAAGGTTGTCACATTGTTTGGTGGACGATTATTAGAATTCTTAGCCAACTTGCAAGGCTCATATCTTTGGTGGTGTTTACTCGTGCAATATTCATTGTTTAAACGCATCTTGAAAGAAATGATTGCATGTGATTCATTGTTTGCACCTAAAAGAGAAAGTAACAGTTACAGTAAGCTACACAAACATTTCCATACGTAACACGTCACTCGGCGCTCATCTAAGCCAACAATGAATAAGTGTTGTATTCGTGTTTTAATTATTCAAATGTTATACGGAGTATATCGTTTTCATATTGCACAACGCTTTATGCCTATTGTTGTAGTATTGTACTAATTCAATGTTTTGATATTTGTAATCGTTTTAAATTTGCAATTAGTTGTTAATCTTCTGTTTTGAATTAGGATTTCAAAAAATAGTCGTTCGGTGGGACGTGGAACATTTGTTGTTTAAATTCTATTTATCTAACTCTAATAAATAGATTCATTCGTAAATAATACAGACATATTATACTTTCATAATATGAAGGGGGGGGGGGGAATTGGACCGAGATAGGCCTGAGCCTAGATGGGGACAGACCGGGATCGGCCTGGGACTAGAACTCGGGTACCGGTTCTACCTAGCTATCCCCTCACCAAGTATTGGCTGGAGCAGGTCCACCCCTATTCATATGATACATGGATATGACATGTTTTTTCATACTGCGGGTTCTAATATTGGCCTCAGCATGCTTGGAAGCTCACTCCTATTTAAAATGTATAGAAGAATGAATATTATATTTTTAGTGGTTCGACTTCAATGTGAATATTGGATCACATATTTCATGTTTAAGAAATGGGAAAAAATACTCCGTACTAGCCATCGAATTAAATGTGTGTATGCGTGCGTGTGCATATGGGTGTATTAAATGTGCTTCCTTTTGTGCAGGTATTAGTTGGTGAGTTCTAGCGGCGATGTAATTAAGAGCATAGAAGTATATGTTAAAGGACACGTCGACTTTGCCCATTGTTCGTACTTCACCACACTCGTCAGCTTTTCGGAGTAATAAAATGTCATTTTAAGATCTTGAGCTACTCGTTTTGTCAGGTTGACCTTTTAGAAAAAGGAAATTCATATATTGACATGGTATTAGAGTCAAACCAATTCATAATCATATTGTGGACCCTTTATAAAAAAAATGTCGTGATTATAAAAAAAGTATGACAATGATGAACTGACGAAAAATGAATGATGACACACTCTAGAGAAAGTGTATGGTCATGAGGAGAATTGTTGAAGTCACACACCAGTAAAATATGAAGTAATAAAATGTTATATTAAGATTTTAGATTATCCCTCCTATCGGGTTGACCTTTTAGGATGAGACCTCGAGTTTTAACATGGTATCAAAGTCAAATTGATCCATAATGGAGTATCTTAAAAGTGAAAGGATGTTCTATCTGTTACGTTTTTACTTGGACTGAAATATGTTGGTATGATCTGGTCTGATATGGTAAATGTCTAGTCTTTCTGTATTTTATAGGTGTTGAAGTGTGGCATGGTCGGGTATAGTTTGTTAAAGTATGGCCTGATATGTTTAAATCTAATCTGTTCTAATCCGGTATGAAATTGAAATCAGTCCAAATAAAAACATTCTTATACGTGATATGTACGTGTATTAATTAGTCATGGATGAAAGTTGATTGAGTTATTATAATATAATACGACATATACAATATCAGTCTCCCTCAGAAAAGGGTTGTTTTTATTTCAATGAACAAATTGCTAAGCTCCTTGTTCAATTTGGGGACCATTTTAATTTGTGATGAAAATTTTCCTTCAAAATTTATGAATAGTTGTTTTAATGTAAAATTTCAATTCAGGAGTCGTTTTAAATTTATTAGGCAATCTACTAAACGTTGTGTTTATCTCCTAGTGGGCCGCTCCTCATGGGGCCGTGAGGAGTTCCTCCCACTGACTCCACCCCGCACATTATAGAGTTTAAAAGATGTGGGGAGTCACATTGTTCAGAATAGTCAATCGTCATATCATTGTCTTATTTTATAATCATTTTTAATTGTATTTGTCTGAGTGCAAAAGTAACAAATTCATCAGCACCATTAAGGAATGCTTGTCGAAAATCTCTATTTTCATCATGTATATAGTACATCCAACTTCTTATTTATCTATACATGAAACCTGAATATATTTCACGTCTTATATTAGAAAAAAAAACTTCATTCCTACACTAACATTGATTACTTAAAGTTAATATATATTCCCCTACATACGTGAAATTAAACAATAATAAATGAATTAATCAACTGTAATGATACAATTATTTCTCGACATAAATATCTATTGTTTACAGAAAATGATTCATTATAACAAGTGTAATGCTTTAAATTACCTAATACTCTATTTAATTTAGTATGTACTATAGAAGAAATAATTGTTGAAATAAATTTATGTACATTATTTGGAACACACATTCGACTGGTTATAGAATACGGTGTTAGAGATTATTCTATGACGAACCATGCTTGAATGATTGTTACTTCCTCCATATTTAAAAGATCTCTATATTAGAGATTGGCACAATATTCAAGGGAGAAATAGTAGAGATAATGAATAGTGTAGAAAAAATAGAAAAGAAAGTGGAAAAGTAGGAAAGAGAAGATAAAAAGTAGAAAAAATAAGGGTAATTGAGTACTTTTAAAGGAAAGTGTAGCAAACTTTTAAATACATCCCAAAACGGAAAATGTAGGAAACTTTTAAATGCGGAGGAAGTATTTATAACAAATCTCTGACTAATATCCGTGACACACATATGGTGTTTTTTACAGTATTTATATAGATATTTATTCAGATGTTAATCCAATTATAGGATGTAATTAGATATGCGTAAGTTCTTAAACTTGATCAGATTTCCTGTAGATATTTATTCAAGATTTTTTTATCTAATTCTGTAACCACTTGGAAATTTCAACATATATAATTAGTTTTTTTTTTTGACCAACAGATATAATTAGTTAATCACTTTAAAGAAAGTTAATGCTATTTCTTTTATCTTGAACTTTAAGAAAGCGACGCCAAAAAATAGAAAAGGAAATTTCTTGACATTTCTTCTATTCCCAAGCTTTTTTCCATTATCCAAACGTACCCTAAATCTTTTTTCTGCAATTTAGCAAATGGAAATGGAGGTTATTAGTGAACATTATGGTGCGCTTAGCAACTGAGGTAAATTTCGTGGGTAACATCAGGTAAAAGAAAAAGGGACAAGAAAAGCATAACAAAAGCTCATTCGATTACCACCTTCCTATCTTTGGTTAAATACCATCGCCCATTATCTCTGTGTAAAAAAATAGAATGGAGAAGACAAAAATACAGTTCATAGATCACCAACAATCCCATGCATTGGGACAAATAGGATCTTTCCCCACATGCCATCCAAAGGGGACCTTAGACTCTCCGTTTGCCTGTTACATCTCAATTCAGTCCAAAACTGTAAAAGTGGGGAACCGGTTTAATTCTTTACCCTCCCAGTCGAGTCCGGTTTCAGGATTGGGTCCACCCTAGAGTTCCTTACATCCATCTCTCAGTCCTGTCCCGTTGGTTGCTTCTTATTTCAAAAAATGTTGGCAGTTGCAATCTAGTCATGGATGCTATGTTCCTACAATCCATCACCATCACCACAAAAAGTTCCCACAATGAGACTCTAGGGAAGAGAAAATTTAAGCCAAGTTCCCTATTTTTTTCCCTGGCAAGAATATGGCTTCAAACCCCGTATATAATACGGAGTAATAGGGAAAATAACATCTCAATTCAATGTCACGGTCTGGATTAGGGCTAAGAACTAGCAGATGACCTCAAAAGGTTAATAATTAAGTCCATTGAAAAGGATGACCATCATGCCCGCTTTGTCCGCCTTCCTACTTTGAGAGCAAGCTCTGTATCAATCTTCAGGGAAATGTCAAGCGCCTTCACAGAATGCGTCAGTGCTCCACTGAAAAATAGTACGTCATAAATAGTACATATCAATATAGTATGGCATAAAAGGTCTCCCATCACATAATCTTCATTGGAGAGGAGAAAATAATTCATAGCCACTGTCCCACACCCCCAGTAAAGGCTAAAGACATAACCACCATAAGGAGTATGATGATTGTAACATAAATACATTCAGCTGTTTAGCCTCTTTCAATCAAGCATGACATGTAAAGTTTAGACAGCAATGAATGTTCAAATATTTGACGCAAAGGTTGGTATGTGGCCGTAAATTAACTGGTAAAGGATAGTAAGCACTTAGGGTTCGATGGAGTATGGGCTACCCACTTTATCATATACGCTTGAAGAAAGTTTGATGCCAATTTCATCATCACCAGCTCACCTCAATCCCATATAGTAAACATTATAAATTCATGCAAAAAAATCACACATAGTCACATAGTGACTAAGTTTTACACCAGATGTTGCAACCTTCTTATGATGGAATAATGAAATAATTTTAAATCATCACCATAGGTTATTTCCACATGCATGGAAGAAACCATGAGACAACAGATGCGTTGTTACAGTCATGCACTCGTGCTCTATTACAAGATTGATATTTAAAAAACCAACATGCAAAACATGGAACGTAAGTACATGCTGATATAAAACCTGAATAAAGAATCTACTTTTTTTTATTATATCATGTGTGCCATGATGAGCATGTCAATTGTCTAAATTATCAATCTTGTACTAAGACTTGTGACTATATCAATTATACCAACTCATCCCTGGCTTGTGCTATTTTCTATGCAAGTGGAAAGTACATGGGCTGATTGACCGCTTCTGGAATTTCATCTCCTATTCCTTTGTGAGGGAAGGGCATCCGGTGCAAATTCTTTTTGCACGACTTTATACAGTTAAACTAATTTTAGACAATTAATTAACACTAAACTTTACGAGGCCAATTCCAAAGTAGTAGGGATTAAAAACCAGAATGGTGAGTGCTGACTGGACTGGTCAAGCTATTAGTTTACTAGTCGGGTCAGACCAGTAGTCGATATGGTAAAGCCGGTTTAATTTTACTAGCATCTAAAGATATGTCATGGATGCACATAGTACTAGATAATCATTGAAAACGAGGATGATATTCTTAATGACCTGGATATATAAGTGACACCAGTTTGCCCAATCAAATGCACTGTCTGAAGTGTAACATTTCCAGAAGCCTGCCACAACATAGCAGGAATGAGAATGTAAGAGGAACACCATTTGGAGAGTACTTCAAGTTTAAAATGAATGCTCCAAAAAAGGCAAGTAGATGTTTAAGATTTTGGTCAAAATATTAGCACTGAACATGACATCTTTTGACAGACTTTAGATGAGAATTATTTATAGAAATGTTCATTAAAAGGACACTGAACGACCGCAAACTTTCAATTTCAGATTTCCACTTTTGGTCACTGACTTTCCTTCTGTTTACATATAGTGCCGGTTACAGATCTCTTGCATCTTTTGGTCCTCATCATACTTCCTGTTGATTTGCCAGATAAAGTGACCAGAGGTACCAAAAGAGACAAGAACTCGATAGCCCTGTACCAAAAGTGGAAAAAGGTGAAATTCTGGACCACAAGCAGGAATGGCCAAGTATATATTGGCAGAACTGGATTTATAAGGCATCACCAGCGACATGGTAACTCTAGGGCATATTTGGTACTTGGCACAGAACGAGGTTAAAACTTTCAAATTGGCAAAGTAGAGATAATACCTCGGTCTCAAATCTCCCATTGATCAAACTAACAGCCTTCTTGAGCATCGAGACATCAACATCTCCATTAGGAAGCGGAACGACCATATTGTCCAACATTAATCTACTCAATGATGTCTTTGGTGTTCTGGATGCATATTGTAGCACCTCGTCTACTTCTTCAAGTGTTCTTGTTTCAATCTGTTATTAGATAACAAATCATCAAATAACCAACCAATTGAAGAGACATAGAGAACTACAACTGAGAACAAACTTAAAAACAAACTTGGTTTACAGGCAACACAGATCATTTCGTTTTATATTAAGTTGTGCAGAGCGAAATCAGGAAAAGCTTCACGGAGTGCAATGAATTTGACAAAAATACCCTTTAAGTGATGGTAGTGACTGTTATTCTATTAAAGGGTAACTGTGGCAATCCAGACCTTTTGCCGAGTCTTTTTCTACCAATATGCTTACTCCAATCTATATCCTTTCTTGGCAATATGAACCACATGAGAGAATTGAGAAACTATGGAGTTTTAAAAGTCCACAATTGTGGAATGAAGATAGTCCCATCTTACCGACGAGTGAAATGTGGGTAACTACCAATTTAGGAAAGGTGACCTTTAACTGAGATCTTTATGTAGCAAGTTTATTCTTATAAATGATCATTCAACCTGCCACACAAATAAAACCTTACTTCTTTCAAGAAGGAAATAAAGAAAAGTGAAAAGAAGGGTACCTCAACCCCCATTTGAAGGTTATTTTGGTCCAGATACATGTCAACAGATTTTAAAGCTTCATTAACACCTCCTGCTGCTGATATATGATTGTCTTTTATCATCACCATATCAAACAAACCCATTCTATGATTTTGGCCACCGCCAATTAATACCTGTCCTCAAAAAAGTCGACGCGCAAAAATATGTGAAAACCATTTCGTGAAAGAAACCATAGACAAGCAGATCATAAATGGTAATAGACAACATTTGTACCGCCCACTTATCGATTAAACGCAAACAAGGAGCAGTTTTTCTTGTCTCCAAGATAGATGCAGGACGTGCAGCATCTGCCATTGCCTACAAACACAAGCATCAAAGGTAAATCATTTCTACATGATGAATATTAAGAAAAAACAGACACCCAAAATAGGTATAGATGGAGGGTTTTGGAGGGGTCAAGTTAAGGCTTGAAGGGTCGAGTCTCTATCTTGATATCTACTTCAGGTTTTATAAAAACTGAAGGCTTAACATAATATGTGATCGCATAGCAATGCAATCACCATTTATTTGTTTTCTAGAAACACTACAGAGTTTTGATCTTGAAATAGACTAAGCCCTACAATGCCATATAAGTTGAAATGTTCAGAGGTAATCCGACTTAACTTTTTGATTTGTAATCATGATCAATGAATACATGTATGTCTCAGACAAAGGAATCTGTTGTGGATCAGTGAATGACCCATGAGGTTATTCTTGGTTCACGAAGCTAGCCCCATTTATTTGAGGTTCACATAGAAAACCTTTTCAAGAAAATATTTCCCTATAAACAAACAGAGCCTAAAAGAGTAAAAGACTAAGTAAGAAATTGCACAAAAGCTTCAACGTAAGGATAGACTTTCGAAAAATATGGAATTCGGTGTCCCATCACCCGTGTTTTGTAATTTGTATCTCAATAACACCAAACAGTGGTTAATTAGAATTTTAGAATTAGATGAAGTTTTAAAATAACATTTATAAAAAGGGAAAACTAAATCATTCTCAAATTAATGAAATGTGACTTACATTAATTTAAACACACCTTAGTCAGTGTAGCGATTCCACTCATTCTCTGCATAAAATTAAGTGCAACCCTTTCCGCAACAATGATGCTATACGCCTTTCCTGAATATGTTTGAGGAGAATCAAATGCTAAAAATCATAATTATTTGACTCTTACAAGATATATGTGTGTGTGTGTGTAGTTCCAATTTATAGTTTACCATGCACTTTGCCAAATTGTAGGCCTTTATTCACTTCATCGCCATCCTTTATAGACCACACCACCTGTTGTCGAAACATGCTTAGAAACACTCTATTCATCGCAATTGACTCCTTCCATTAGAAGGAAATTTTCAGTACCCATTCGTTAGGCAATTATTCAACTTATCTACCAGAATTTTTACCAAGCACAAACTTATTTCACTTGGCCAGCTGAATGTGATGATAAGTAGTGTAACAGTTACATATTTGGATAAAATGGTTAAAATTACATCGCAATGGCTAATCAACCTTCATTTTCATATTTTACTGTAAATAATTATTTTAGATGAAAATTCTGCCAATCATTCACAATTTTAGCAGATTCAGCCATTGTAAGCTACACCAAACGGGCCCTTGCTGTCCTCAAATGTGCAATACCTGCAATGTAGGGTCAACTTCACTGAATACCATTTCAGCAAGCGCAATCCCCGCTATGATCCCATCCTCCTTAGCCAGAAAGTGAGCTTCCGCCTCCACATCAGCCGGAATCGTTGCTTTACAAGTCACATCTCCTGTGTGTCATCATAACACATTGTATCGAAATATATAATAACAATGGCTTGATTCTAAAAAATGGGTCTGGTTTCAATGACCAAAACTCAAACTTCGCTACTTGAGAGGTTAGTTTTATCATGTAGTTATTTGCTGTTTTACTATCAAATAATATATATAGTATTTACCACTTTAAAAATGTAATGTGGGCATGCCAACAATATCTACGACTCGCAACTAATTATTCAAACTTACATCAACAGTTAATTATTCACATTTATCAAAACATTAAATTAAGCATCATGCAGATGTATGGCCTCATATAACCAAGGATTGAAATATCACCGATATTGATCTATATTTTCTTCTTGAGAGGTCTGGATACCGAAAGAGGAACTTTCATTATTTTCCCTATTATTTTTTAATTTATATAGATGTTGATATGGATGATATCTATCAAAGTATCAATAAGTTAAAAAATATCCAAAAGTTATTAGAAGATTTGAGCATTTTTACTCTTGATGATTAATCAAATACATACAGAGACATAATTATACTAACATAGTTTGTGTGTGTCTGTAAGGGTCAGTTTGGATGGAGCATTTTGAACAGGAAGCTTTGGGAGGGCTTATGTGGACATCTTGGGGCCGGACATACCAGTAACGCAAGCAGGACCCACGAGCTAGAATGAGTGAAGACGGCCCATGAGCTAGAACGAGCGAAGGCGGCCCACAGAAGAAAGACAATCAAAGTGGCTGATTGGAAAGCAATTTTATTTAATTCTACTTTTCGGCATGTTACCTTATTCTAGTTAGATGGCTTTAATTAAGTTGTTTTAGAATTACAACTCTATGTTGCCTTTTCATCTAGGACTCTTGTAATAGAGAAAACGGGGGGGGGGGGGGGGGGGTCGTTGACTGCATTATAAACTCCAGTAGTTTTTGAAGAATTATTTCTCAGGTGTATCGACTAGGTTGGACACTAGATCAATTTCAACTTTCAGATAAACTTTTTTTTATTTTCATTCCACTCTCCTTCAGCGGAAATAGATTCAAAAGGCTCTATGGGCCAATCCTCCCTACCATTTCTTAGTTCCTCATGTGCACGAGATCCTCCTTGCATGTCTTTAACAAAGGCTTAGGGTATATCTTGATTAATGGCATGTTTCTAGCAGTGAAAAAGACTCAAAAGAGTTATTGAAATGTTAAATGATCACCTATTGTGCTATTACTTCAATTCTCAAATACATTTATGATATAGACTTAGTCCTCCATAACTTACATCCAAACTGCCCCTAACAGGAATGGTACCTTAATACCTTTATCCCCAGCATCTTCAGAAAGGGCAAGTTGAATAACCCCCTTCAAATCATATGTAGGGTGAGCAGGTGGTTTCACTGCCATACACTCAACAGCTCTTCCAATATTATTGTTTGTGCCAAATCCCAACATTTTTGCAACCAATCTGCAATTTTGTGTTTTTCAACAAGAAAACCAAATTCTTAAATTTCCCTAATTGAGGATTAGGGTTCATGCAGTTAAAAGTATGAAACATGAGCGTAAGGCATAATATTTCAAAGAAGGATTGAAAACAAACCTTGGAGAGGTTTTTGGATGAAGGTAGCTTGACAAAGGACGATAAGGAGGAGCTCTGATCATCATAAAGATGGATTGCAATGAAAACGCTGCACTTCTACTTTTCCGTTAATCCTTTAATTCACACAAAGAATATAAGTAAATATTTACGACCCCGTTTGAATAGGTTTAACAAAATGACATCTGCTGAGTTTCCTGAAAGTATTTGTGTTTGGTAACCGAATTAAGTGGGTTTTTGGAATCGATTCTAATGAGTTTCCTGCAGTTTCACCCAGAAGTTAGGGATGATATTCATAAAAAATTAAAGAAATCAAGATACATTAGAAATAACTACATAATCCGTATATATGATTAAAATTAAAATTATGATTGTTTACAAAAAGCAAGTAATTAAAGTAATAATGAAATTTTAGTAACTCATGTTCAATTTTTAAATGAGACTACCTTGTAGTAAGTATTAGTTATATTTATGTAAATGAATTTTATTTTAGTAATATTTTTGAAAAAAATCAATACATTACCACGTGAAGCTATACACATATTGAATAATTTTGAGTAAATATTACCCATTTTGGAAAATTTCTTTTGTACACGTTTGGACACATATATACTTCCTATTTTACTCGTAAACACAAACAATTTGTCTAAAAATGTTAAATGTTGAAAGTTACATGTCTACAAAGAGAACTTAGCCGTGTACACACGCCCAGGCTGGTTGACATGTTTAGATCATCTCCAATGCTAAAACGTTAACAGTGCATACGTGGCATGAAAAATAACCAAATAAAAAACAATAAGTAGAATATCGTTCTCCTTATTTGAAGGATCTTACATCATTTTGGTATGTTTTTCTACACAATGTCTAGATGTAGACATTGTAGTTGACATTGCAGACAAAAATTTACCAAAAACACATAAGATCGTGGAAAGAAGGAGAGAAAATGTCATAAATCTATCTCTCTCATGTCACATGTGTACCGTGCACATTGTAGCATTGGAGATGCTTTTAGATAGTTTTTTTTTTAATTAAACTCGATTTTTCTGGTTTAGTAGATGTATAACACTAATACATATTGGTATTTTACAATTGTCGAAATTTGATTTGATCTAATCTTATCTCGCCTGGACTGAAACTAATCCTATTAAAAATATTCTTCTTTAAAATCATTACATAAATATGATCAAAATAAAGGTGGTTTACAAATTTATGACTACCTACCAGAGTAGTAATGAAATCATAGTAATTCATGTTCAAGTTTTGAACTTAAGTTACCATAACACTACGTTGTAGTAATGAATAGTCATATTTATGTAAATAAATTTTATTTTAGTAATATTCTTGTAAAAACCCTTTCTTATTTTCCAATATTATGCTTTGTATTTCTTTTTTGCCTAAATAAATCTGATCAAATTAGTATTTTCTATTTATTCTGATCAAACACCGTTTATCTTTTTGTGATATATATAATCACAAAAAAGGTGTGTGGTGTCGTCATGCGCCAGGTGGATTGGGTGCCGGCATGCACTGGTTTTCCTTTCAGAGTCTTCGTTTTCATTCTCTCCTTGCTTGAGAGTTTTATTGTTGTGCGTCGATAGTTCTACTGCATTAGGCGCTTGGGTGGGACGAGTTTTCTCTCTAGGGCTTCGACTATCCCTTGGTCGCTGGTTTGCGGATTTACTGTCATGGCTCGAGGAGATCGGCGCTATGGTCGAGATTCAAGGATGCGGCGTTGCTGTCGTCGTTGGAGAAGATCGGCGCCGCCTATCCGTTTACTCTGGTCGCACGGAGCAGGGATGAGTTTGGTTATGCATGGACGGAGGATTGATGCATGGTCTTTGGCAGCCAAAGGCCATGGATGATCAATTAGCATGGTACCGGTGGTACGACCTCCTCCTGAACCACCACCATGGGATGTACGAGGTGCTAGAGTTCGTGAAAGTTTTTCTTGTAGTTTTTATATGTTTGTTATTTGTTTTCTTGTGTCCATTTTTGTTGTTGGTTTTGACAGTTTGTTTGAGTTTTTTGTCTCTCTTTATGTCATTGGGTATGGTTGGATCTATGGGAACAAGTTTGGTTGTGACAAGCTCACTACATGGTTAGCGATTCGTGTTGCTCTCTTAGGGGTGACCGTCTCAAAGTCTCATCATAGGGTTACAGTCGTAGTTGTTGGAGTTTCAGTTGGTGTCAGTTTTATTTTCCCTTTACTTGATGTAATGATCCTGAATCTTTTGATATGAATAGAGACCTGTTTTGATGAAAAAAAACACCGTTTATCTTTTCTTTGTCCTACTCACTATCCCAAATTCGGAAACTCCCGAAACATCCTCTCCTTTCCCTTCTCGTGTATCTCCTTTCCCTTCTCGTGTATCTCCTTTCATCATGTTCCCTTGTACCTAATCTCCCCTACCATCCCGTGTAGTCAACCCCTCCCCCTTTCTCTGTTCTCAACTAACTGTCGAGCAAATTGATCTCCCTCCGCCCTCCCTCATTTTATGGAATAATTCCTACTTGCCCGTAGGCAATTCACGTAGTCACATGGGTGAAATTTTGGAACAATGTGAGAATAAGTGACTGGCTTGAGACTGCTTGTGACTAGTAGGCACTGGCTTGGACTCTGTGTTTAGCAGAGTTACTACAATTAACAACCTCGCTATGTGGAGTCATAGCTTAGGTGGCCTGAGGTTGGGGAATCAACCATGGTCAGGTCAATGTTGGTTTGTTCTGAAATTTGGCTTGGTTATGCTTCTCACATTCATACATAGGGGTGGGCATGGTTGATTAACCGTAGTTTGGTTAACCGATTTGCGATTAACCGAGATTCCGGTTTATGTATGTATAATATCATTAACCATACCACAATAATGGTTAACCGAGCAATATTTAACCACGATATTGGTTAACTAGGGTCTGGAATATAGCTACATTAGCATATGAGGGATCTATAGAGTAACAATAGGGCATGTTTGGTAACATGAAATTGGATGAATTGATTGAATCTATAGATTTAATTATGAAAGAACAAAATAATGATTGAGATTATCAATGATTGACAATAGTCCAAAGAACAAAAATGGCTTAGCTACCCTTTCTCTGGGGAAAAAATCACTCTATTACAAAATGAAGAAAGAAAAAAAAGCTTAGCTAGTCTAATTACTCTAATACAGCAGTACACATTACAATATGAAGAAAGAAAAAATTAATTAAATTTTCAATTAATTAAGCTCTTTTCTTGTTCATGCTATCAACTAGATGCCGCATTTGAAATCTCCAGAACATAAAGTAAACCAAACCCAAACCAATAAGCACAAAAATCCAAACGTTATCTTCACTGGTTTCCTTCGCCGACTCTATCTCCGTTATCCCGAACTCACCCCTCTCTGCATTTACCGCCATGCCCTCATGGATATGACCGTATAACACATATACCCTGTCTTCCTCCCCCACCGTCACTGCGGAAGCGAATCGCTCTTCTACGAGGGCAGTTTCGTCATATACCGCTCCCTCCATCCAGCTGTCGTGGCTCTTCAGGAAATACATCTTCTGGCGGCTCACGACCACCACCACGCCGTCGCGTCTGGAGGCGATCCCGCCGGCCGCCGTCAGGACCTGGTTCAGAAGAACGGCCTTCGCCCTGCCGGTGTCCACGTCGACTTTGAAGAGCTTCCCGGTGTTTGATTGGACCACGAGGAGATACCCTTTGGAGTTGTAAACGATGCCGTTTAAGCCGCAATTGTTACAGTCAACCACACGGTCAACTGATTCGAACGCTTTCGATCTGGAGAGCACGGAAGCTTCGCCGTCGATGTTCACTTTCCAGATGAGATCTCTCCCGGAGTCGGTGACGTACGCGTTGCCGGAAAAATCGGTTGTCACGTCGCTCGCGACGGATGAGGGTTCGGAGGATTCTGGATCATGGGTGACGGAGGCGATGGGGTTATTGCCGTCCTCGTCGATTAGAGACGTGAGGAAGAGGCGGCGGAGGGAGATGAGGTCGTAGGCGGCGAGGGCGTTGAAGGGTTCGGTAGAGGCAGAGGACGGAGGGCGATGAACGACGGCGAGGATGCGGTAGTGGATGCGGTCTAGGGCGATGCCCCGGATCGACGAATTTGGGGGGAGCGAGGCGTCGGAGATTAGGGTTTCAGAGACGCCGGCGTCGGAGACGGAGACAAGCTTTGGGTAGCGAAGAGATCCGAGGATAAAGTGCTGGGACTTTGGATCCCACGTGAAGGATTCCGGGAAGAGATTCTCCGATCGGAAGTTGATGACATGGGGCCTCCGGCAGGCTGCAGGACCTACAAGAAGGAGGATACAGAAGAGAATACCAACTACTGATGTTTGTCTACACATCCTTCGGGTTTCTGGTTGAATAGAAATTTCCAATTATCATACGTATATACTGAATAATTTGCTCAAACAAAAAAGTACTGAATAGTTACTACCGAATTTGTAAGAATGTTTTTACTACATACGGAGTACTAAATTTTATTACTACCGAATTTTCAATGAAGTTATAAAATACTCATCCGGCATCCCTAACTTAAAAATCTTTCCCCCTTTAAAAGTAGGTAGATTAAGAATAGTGAAAGAGAATATCAATTATTGAGGGTATGATGGAAGATAATGAATTAATGTGATGGAATGTAGGATAGATCCAAAAAAAATAATTGTAATAGTGTATTATTTTTAGAATTATTGAAGGTATGATGAGAAAATTTGAATATGGGAAGATTTTTTTTGTTACAGACGAAAAAGGAAAGTGAGAAATTTTTTTGTTACGGAGGGAGTAATTGAGATGGATTTCATACATGTAACATTCTCATTGGGAGAGCTTTTAATGCTTTTTAATCAATTCTTTCTCTCTCTACGGTTACCTCTCTCGACCGCCACTAATGTAGTATAGATTTCTTCCTGTTTTTTCGTCTCGGACGAAGAACGGTGTGGGTTGCACAAGGGCTCGCGGTCGTCAGTTGCAGACAACGAGGTTTGATGCGGAGAAGTTCGAGCAGCGGTTGTCGGTCGCGGTTTGGCATCGGTGCCGGCAGGGGTTTGCTCAGCATCTTTGCTTTCGTTTCAATTTATGGGAGAGGTGCTGGATCAATACAAAAGGATGGTTATAGAAGAAGAAAATAGTAATTTAAACTTTGATGGTGAGGAAGACGAGGACCTTGATTCAACCGCAAAAGGGGGCTGAATTTACGGTGGTGGGGGTGGTTCTCATGGATCGAAAAATCAGGATTCAGGCTGTAAAAGATCTGTTTGCTTCAATTTGGCGACCAGGCAAAGGTATATCAGTCCAAGAGATCGACGATAAGAGATATTTGTTTACTTTTTATCATATCGTGGATATGAATCGTGTTCTAGAAGATGGTCCTTGGTTGTTTGAGAAGAATTTATTACTGCTTGAAGTGGTTAGTCCTGATGATATCCCCCATAAGATGAATTTGTTTGAGACAGAGTTCTGGGTGAAAGTGCACAATGTTCCCTATAGCTTTATGAATATAGGTACTGCCAAAAGAGTAGTGAGAAACTATATTAGAGAATTTATTAGGTTTGATGTGAGGAAGCCCCCAAAGAAGGGATCTACCCTTACGAGAGGGTGTATTGGACACTGAGTGGATTTTAAATACGAAAAACTACCTAACTTCTGTTTCATTTATGGGGTGATTCCGTGATTGGGCATTCTGAGAAATTATGTCCCTTGAAATATGAGGACAATTTAGTATTGGAAAAATCATTTGGGGTAGAGCTTCGAGTAGGGGGGAGACTAGCCTCACAAAGGGTAATAAGTGGTTAGTGGAAAAACCGTCACGTCAAAGGCAACAGAGGAGGACAGATCAATGGGGTGAGGGTACTGGGGGTAAGGGAAGGATAGAGGCTATAACTGGTACATAAAATAGTGTCTCCAAAGAAGAAGATAGTGGAAGCGCTGAGGTAGTACTAGTGGACAATAAATGTAGAAGAATATTGAAGGAACAAGCATAAGAGGACACAACATGTGAGGAGATGACTCTTGATAAAGCAAAAAATGGGTAGGTGGCGGGTCCAGGTTTCTAGACCCCGCCGGTCATGCGAGGAATGTTGATGTTGAAGAAGACAAAATTTGGCTTTTATTTTATTGTTGTTTCAAATTTTAATTTCTACGCCGAGATTGTTTTGTTTGCTTTGGTACTGTGAGACTTTTGTATTAGGAGTGAGTGATGAGAGTTCTGCGGTAATCGTCATTGGCTCAATTATGCCCAATTTAGGATCTTCGAGTTATATTGCTTTGTCAAAGGTGATTAACTCTGCGTCTGGCCCATGGGCGGATGGTTATTTGTGGTTCTTTTGTTATTTCAACCCCTATCTGAATGCTATGATATCAATCTAAGCCCCCTTCTTCCAAAAAAAATGAAGTTATAAAATAATATTGAGAATAGGGTCAAATGACAGTTTGTCACACCATGAGCATCATGCTCCTGTACCCAAAAAGACACTGCTTGAAGCATGCTACTCCCACATGAAAAAATTGCGTGTTATTGTTCACACGCGTGAACATTAACCTTTGTTTTTGTTTTTTCATTGTCCAAATGTAGAATGATGTAACTCGTGTGTAATGAAATGTAACTCACGCTAATAAAAAATGTAATTGTAGGCAGGTCGAAATGTAATTTGTCTAATAAGGATACTAAGAAATAAAATATTGATTTCAATGAAAACAATAAAAAAAAGAGTCTAAATGCACAATTACTTTACTTAAATTGTGAATATGTTTTGTTTTTAATATCAAGATCATCAAAAGGATTTTTTAAAAAAAAATCATTTTTTTTTGTTTCAATAGTAGGGGTTGATTTTTTTGATGTAACTCGTGTTATTACAAATGTAACTCGTGTCCCCAGCAATATAACTGACAATGATAAGAAATGTAATTTACGTCAAGTTAAAGTGTGAGTTATCTAAAATACTGTAGAATATAAGAATTAAAACATTGATTATAATGCAAATAATGAAAAATAGGAGTTTTATCCCTCTGAATGTAGTGTATGATTATAAAATATAATATACTTATTTTATGTGGGTTAATAAAAAAATTTGTAGTAAAGAAAGAAGTTAATTCAGTTCTAATTTATTTAATTACTTAAGGATAATTAGATGTAACAAAAAGAAAAAATAATTAGATGTAACTCGCGCAATCGTTAATTCTTTGTCTTGTCAATCAATGCATCACCAACGATCAATTTCGTGCGACCAACCAGCAGTCAATCATAAATAAATAAATAAATAAATAAATGAATAATTGAATAAATAAATAAATAAATGAATGAATAAAGAAATAAATAAATAAATAAATAAATAAATTACAATATTATATCTACGCTTGCCATATAAAACTTCATAAACTGTAGTGTTATATAAAAGCAAAAAATCAGTTTCTATTATGTAAACGGTAGTGTTTTAACTTTTAAGGGTAATAAATTGTATAACAAAATTTAGCAACGCCATAAAAAGAAAAATTCATTAAAGCAATTCATATATAAAAATTGCATTGCATAAAACATGAAGAAAATTCTACTTCCAAATTTTCAGATCGACTTATTTTACTTATATGGAGCGATATGTATTTTGATTTTGGAAACCCTAGATTTGATTGAACCCAAACAAAAGCAAAATAAAAAACATCGCGTTTATAAAATCATTTATAAGTGCGAACGGTGTGGATATGATATGTATGATTTTATATCCATGGATCAAATATATACTCATTTATTTACACATATAGATTGTTGTATGAGCATACCCTTGGAATAGTAATGATTCTGCTTCGAGGATTTCAATCTTGATCGAGACAGAAGTTTGTTTCCCTTTCAATCCGTTGATTCACGTGAGCTTTAAATCGGACGAGAAGCTCAAGATCGACTTTGTAAGAAGAATGGTGAAAAGATCGGATGAGAAGATTGGTGAGAAGCTTGAATTCGAGTTCGTTTCCCTTTGGAGCGACGGACTGGAGTTCAGATATACGTGTTTAAAGGAAACTCGACCGCTCCTTTTCTGACACAGCATAATCTGAAAGATTCTTATCTTATCTCCTTTAATTGGTTTACTATTTTACCTTTCATTGTTAGGAATTCGTTAGTGATGGATGTTTGTCGTATATCTCATTTCATATATTCATGCAGTATTGGGTAAGGTTTTGTCCCCTCAATATATGAACAAGCCTTAATACATAGTCTATCTAGGACAGTAGCATGTATGTTACACTTGATTTCATTCAACATCCCTTTTTATGACTACTCTCCCTATATCTTTTGCAAATCATAGTATGAAATTCTTCATTACATGTTTACACATTTAAATTTCTTACTTTCCTCATCTCATTTTAGTGGATATTTTTGTAAAGCCTATACATATTACTCCCTCCGTATTTTTTTGTTTGCTACACTTTCTTTTTTTGGATGTTTTCAAAAATTTGCTACACTTTCCCTTTTTGGTAAGTTTTTCCTTTAAAAATACTCCCTCCTTAACATTCATATCTTCTCACTTTCCTATTTTGGATGTAACATTCATATCTTCCCATTTCTAAATCTTCCCATCATACCCTCAATAATTTTAAAAAGGGTTATTTTTAGATAGCTCCCCTGAGGTATGAACATTTTACACTTTGAGATGGATTATGCATATATTATTGAAGTGCTCCCTAGTTCACTATCCTATATTCTACCAAATCTCAAATAGTTTAAAGAAAATAATTGAATAGCCTTGATCAAATTTCAATGCGTATACTGCAGGAGAACTGGTCTTAAATGCACACTACTTTGTATTTTACATTAATAAAAATATCATGAACACTACTTCGTATTTTACATTAATAAAAATATCGTATTGTCTCCGTATTTTAAAGATCACTTTAGGTTTTGACATAATATTTAAGGAAGAAATAATAGAGGTTATGAATAGTTTAAAAAAAGGAGATAAGGTAGAAAATTATGAAAGAGAAGACAAAATAGAAAAAGTAAAGATAGTTGAGTAATTTTAGATGAAAAACTTACCACAAAAGGAAAGTGTAGCAAAGTTTTAAATACATTGTAAATGAGAAAATGTAGTGAACTTTAAAATACGGAGAAAGTATTTGTTGTTGGGCAAATTGACAATAATAATATCACATTTCTTTGGTCATCGCTCGTAAAATCAAAATAGTTTCACTTTTGCTCGCCTTCTTTCTTTAATCTCTAACTAGTTGATGATATGTTATTTCAGATTTTATATTTTTCCTTTAAAAACTATTAAATGAAAAATCTCAACTTTCATTGATGATGTTCTCATACTATTCTCATACATCTTTTTTCAGTAGTCTCCATAGAAGTTATTTCTTTATTTTTATTTCTTGAATTGATGCTTTTGAATCCTTTTGCGGCTTCTAATTTTTATTTTTATTTCCATGTATGTATTCTATTTTCATGC